CTAAGACACATTGCGTCTTGTTGGCGCTATGACGTCATTGATTTATGAATGCCGTAAAGAACCGCTTCCAACATGTTTTCAAGGGGATTAAAAGCCTCGTATCAAAGTAACGAAATAATTTTCAAGACAATTTTCAAGACAATTTAACAATTCTTCAGTGGACTATACTATAAGTTTGAATTGATAAAAGTAATGTATATTGCGTAGATATATATAGTTTTTATGTCATGGCGTCGGTGATTAAAAACTAAAGATTTCCAGAAACGAATCCGGGGTGTATTAATGACGTTAGACGCCTTGTAGAAAAGTGACAAAATAATTAGGTACGAGTAGTTGAATATAATTATATAAACAGGGATGCAGGCCCTAGAAATCTGTATGGTTGAATCCATGACGTCATAGCGTCAAAACATAATCAATTCTGTGTATAACTTTTACCGAATTGTATATTTCATGTCTACTGATTTTTATGTCTAATGTCTAATGTTTATTGTTTGACTTGGTTCCATATTGTTTTGTATTATCATTTCAGGTTTGGGAGGACAACTTGTAAAGGCGTTGATACACCTGTTTTGTCCTCCCTTCCACTTGTTTTTGCATGTGGTAAATTCAAATAAAGAAATAAAGAAATAAAGAAAACGACGCAATGTGCGTTAGTTTTATCAGTTTTATTAAGTGGTATTGACCTCTAAAAGATTGTTAAAAGTGAGTTGAAAACTGAAAATTATTTCGTTAATTAGGTACGAGTAGTTGAATATCATTATATAAACAGGATGCAGGCCCTACAAATCTGTATGGTTGAATCTATGACGCCAAAGCGACGCAATGTGCGTTAGATTTATTAGTTTTATTTGATGGAATGGACCTCTAAAAGATTGTTAAAGTTGATTTGAAAACTAAGAATTATTTCGTTAATTAGGTATGAGTAGTTGAATATCATTATATAAACAGGGATTCTGGCCCTAGAAATCTGTTTGGTTGCTGAATCTATGATGTCATGACGTCCAAACGACGCTATGTACGTTAGTTTTATCAGTTGTATTTAGTGATATGGATCTCTAAACGACTGTTAAAATTGATTTGAGAACTAAAAATTATTTCGTTAATTAGCTACGAGTAGTTAAGTTAAATATTGAGTTGAATACTGAATATCGAATATCGAGTGTTCGATCTATGACGTCATGACGTAAAATCGACGCAATGTGCGTTAGTTGTATCAGTTTTATTTGGTGGTATGGACCTTTTAAAGATTGTTAAAATTGATTTGAGAACTAAAAGTTATTTCGTTAATTAGGTACGAGTAGTTGAATATCATACAAACAGGGATTCTGGCCCTAGAAATCTGTTTAGTTCAATTTATGACGTCATGACGTCCAAACGACGCTCATTTGCATATATGGGACAGTAGAATGCTTCCGCGCCTGAGACGTATCCGAAATAGTGCCTACCATTCGAATCGAAGGCTCAATCGAAGGCTGGCGAATCGAAGGCCGAAAGGAGGGCTAACTTTAGGTTGGTCACATTAACAGGGTGAATGGAAGTTTTGCTGCAGTTTTGTTGCCATGCTTTTTGTATATGAAAACCACTTGTCTAAGAAGACATTAATGACAGGACTATCTCTAATGACAGTCTGCGACAGTTACTATAGAACAGCTCACTCACCATGTTCCCTGGCGTACACTTTATTTAACATACTTGTATATAATAACCTTGTGTATACTACATACTACACATAGGAGAAAAATTTTGTATTATCATTGTTATTTTTAATAAAAATGATACCCCCCAGTCAGGCGTCGTACTTTTATGCCTAGATTAAAAAAAAAAAATTTTCTGAAGAGTTGGATTTTAGCACAATTGACTATTGTTCCATAATTTTCCACCTGTTTCATGTAGTGCAGTGACATGCACTTCACCAGTAGCACAGTACTACTATTCAGCCAGACTGAAGTCAGGGGTGATGAAGACGATGCTGCCTTTGGTGTGCTGGAACTGTGGTGAGGAGGAAACGCTGCCCATACTGGCAGAGAAGACTCAGCTGCATACCAGACAATAAACCCTGTTTGTCAGGTAGGCATACATTTGTTACCTACATAAATACATTATGCAACTTATGTAGAATAGCTCTAAACATATTCTGTTTGGTTCCACCTTTATTGATATTCTTTCTCAAAAGCTCCTATAGACTATTTGCATAGGTAGAAATGCAGTAATGCATGCAAAGGGTTAATCAGCAACTAATTTTGCCTTTTATGCTTTGTTTCTGCAGGCCTGCAAAAATGTGACAGGACGACAACTGCCGTTCCACCTGATTTATTGCTGTTTTGATGATGAATAAAAGACTTCTTGTTTGTTACACTGTGTCACCTCATTCAATTTGTGTCCTA